TAACTAATCTGGATACAGTAAAAGTAACTAAAACCTGAACAAAAGAAATATTTAAAATTCAGAACAATAGAATTAAAGGAGATAGTTTAGAAGAAAAAGCAACACAGATATTGAAAGCTCAGAATATAATAACAATAATGACAAAAGCTCACCTTATAGAAGAAAATGAAGAGAAGATATAACTAAGGAAACTTATAGAAGACAGAGGAGTAAATTTATTTGAAGAAATAGTGATACACAATCAAACATTACAATAGATAGCACAATGAAAAATGACAAAAAGGTTAGAAAATAGTTTAGTAAATGAAATTAAAGAATTATTATCTTCTAGATCTAATACAATAGAATTTGTTAAAATCATATTCAGACAACTTAAAAATCTATCAGGTGATTCTTCCTTTGGGATGCAGATGATTCTTTAACTAGATAAGTGTGGCATTATCAGTATAGAAATCAAATTTGAATCTGTACAAGTAATGTTTAAAATACTGCATGGTCCAGATGGTAGCAAGACACTCTTTCTCCACAACAGTATAATTTTGTTTGACAGTGGCTAAGAGACGACTCGCATTAGGTGACAGGATGTTCTTAGTTCGAATTGTCTTTCTAGAAGAGTACAGCTCCTATTCTCCAGTCAGATACATCTGTAACAAGCATAAATCATCTCAAAAAATCAGGATAAATCATTATTGGTACTGAATTAAGATATTTCTTTAGTGAATCAAAAGCTGATTGGTGTTCATTCTTCCAATTGAACATAACATTCTCTTCATAAAATTATGTAGTAGTTTTGTAATAGTAGAAAAATCCCATACATACTTTCTATAATAAGATGTTAATCCTAAAAAAGTGTGAACATTGGTTTTGTTCTTAAGAATAGAATATCATTGAACTTTCTCTGTCTTCGCTAGATCAGTAGCTATTCTTTCAATCGTTACCACATGTCTCAAAAATGTCAATCTTGTTTAGAAGAAATCACTCTTCTCTAAATTTATTTTTAATCGTGCTTTGTCTAGAAAAGTGAAAGCAGTTCTCAATTTATTCTTGTGTTTTTTGCGAGTTTTTGAGTAGATAATAATGTCATCTATGTATATTAGCACAAATTTCCACATTACACCATAAAACACTCAGTCCATTGTTTGCTAAAATGTTGTAGATATATTAATAAGTTCAAATGACATTACCATAAATTTGTACATACCAAAAGGGGTGATAAAGACAGCCTTCTTTTGATCTTTATATAACACTTCCACTTGTCAAAACTTGGATACTAAGTCAAGTGTTGAAAAGAAAACAGAGTGTTCCAAGATATCCAATATATTAGCTATCTTTGGAACTGAATAGGCATCAGGCTTGATAACAGCATTAAATTTCCTGTAGTCAACACATAATTTAAACTTTCCATTTTTCTTGTTGACTACTACTATAGATGTCAATCATGGGCTGGATGACTTCTATATCAATCTATTTTTAATCATATGTACAATTTTCTCCTTTAAAAATTCCAAGTATTGAGGTGAAGTTCTGTATAGGTATAATTTAATAAGTTTCACTTCTCCAGTATCTATTGTATGTACACAAATGTCAGTCTTTCATAGTTATAAAAAATCACTAGTCACCAAACCTGGAAATTCTACAATAATTTTGTTAACCAGTGGTTTATATTTGTTTTTTGCAAGTATTTCCATTTTCCCTTGGGTTGAGTTCTTACGTACATTGTAGATTTCATTCTATGGCATCATCAAAATGGCTTTTCAATTCTGTAATCACTCTTTACACTTATCTTCCTTTGTTTTAAGATATTTATTACATCAACAATAAGTATTTGGTTTTGCAACCTTTCACTACTTTTGCTTATATCTCTTCCTTATGATGACATCAAGACAATATGTAAGATAGTCATAAATCTCCCACATTATGTGTCCCAAATTTATACGTATTCCTTTGAGAATTATATCAACTTCTTGTTACAGTAAGTTATAGGTTATGCCTACAAAGTTTTCTTTATCTTCATTTTCTTCCATATTTATTTCTTCACTATTTTCTGCATAGTCTTTGCTTTTGTCATCAGTATCTTCGTCACTTCCTGATATTATTGTATTCGTATTTCTGCAAAGAATTTCTATGGTGTTTTTGTCATCTTTCAATATTAACTTGCATTCCTGATAGTTGATAATCAAATTTATTTTCATTTGCTAGTCAGTTCCAAGGACCAAAGTGTACCTAGTTATGTTTATGACTTCCATATTTTTGCCACAGTTACCATTCCTAATTTTATTAGTACTTGAGTTATGACTTCCATACTGGAATATCTTTCGTTGTGTATACTAATTATCTTCTTGTTGGAAGACTTATCAATTATTTTTCCTATTGATTTCATAAAAGTTTTGAATAACACTAATAGTAAAGCCACTATCAAATATAAAGTTAACTCTTCAACTTGCTACTTGAGCCTTACACATTATTGAATATTCCCTTTCACTTTAATATGATTAACCATTTTCATAACTTTCACTCGTCAAGGGGTAAAAACTTTCCATACTTCATTATGATATGACAACAATCCTATGAGTTGTCCTAAAGTAATACTGGCTCTTGTAGACAGTAAGTCTGAAATGATAGAGTGATGCAGGACATTTTGTACTATGGGTGGTTGTTGGCTTTCCTCTTTTTCTTTTGTTGAGGTCCTTACACTGTTTCTTCATTCTTTTTTGATTTTAGCTTTTTTGCGATAGCCGGTTTGCTTGTTTATCCTTGGCTTTGACATCTCCTCCTGTTATTGCATCTATCTTTCTGACTTTATATGAGAAATTTGTTTTGTTCACATGCTCACCTTCCAGAGGTGCATCTAGTGTTTTAAATACAGAACCCTTTTCTAAACAGTAGCAGTTGAAGTTCTGTCTGTTTCTTCTTGACCTAAACATATTATTTTCATTGTTCTGTGATACCTGAAGTATCACTTATCTTGTCATGACATTTATCTTGAGGTTGTACTATTCTGCTTGGCTCTTGTGCCAGAGAGTTAGCAGAATTTCTTTGATAATCTGTCTTTGTAGAACACTCTCAAGCCATATGTCCTGCTTGTCTACAAGCATAGCAATGGAATGGGTTGTTAATATTATTACTTCGACTTTCTATATTCTGTTCCTTATTATTAGAAACATAATTAAGCTGTCTGTGGAATATATTTTTTGATCTATCACTTTTTTCCACAATCTTTCGTAACATTTTGACTATAGGAGTTAAAGTCTTTTGTACGGCTCATTCCACTGCATCTTCTTTATCCTCAATTCTGTTACAGGTAAGTGTAAATGGAATATTCATGAATGAGATAACACCATATCTAACTATTTTGGAATAAGTTTACACATTCTCTTCGGACTGCTTCACAGTCTTAATTATGGATTCCAATGTTGAGTTCTCTTGTGACAAGACAACAGGCATGCTTGATAAGCAATATTCTTTCGTAATCCCTTTAAAAATTGTCAGATCTTTTCATCATTACTCCTCCTGTTTTCACCATTAATTCTTTTATCAGCTTTTTAACATCATTGGCATACTGCTCCACAGTTTCATCCAGTTTTTACACTTTCATCTATGATTCAAATCTCTACTGATTAAAGAGAAACTGTGTTCTTGAAAGTGGTTAAAAATAATGGTTCAAATGAAACTTGTCCTCTGGTGTCCCAATGCATAATAGGTTTCATCCTTCTTGTGTTTCAGCAAACCATTGTCCTGCAGCACCTTGCAGATACCCACTAACTATGCAAAGCTTATATTTATCAGTGTATTGGTTTATTTTTGCTGACCTGTTGAATTCCTCAAGTCATTCCATAGGATCTTGCCTTCTTCCATGGAATATTGATATTCATGTGTTGTTTCATATGCAAAAGATACTTTGTAACTTCCTAATTAAAGTGTTAGTGCCACTTTCTTCAGCATTGTGACTCATTGCTCTGGTTATACATCTTCACAGCAAATTGAATCTTCTCTTTGTTATACAGATTTCTAACACAATTGACTTCATTATTAATCATTTGATTTGTAGGAATTTTATTATATTGCAGGCTGCTTTGCCTACTGAATCTGTAGACTTCGTCATTAGCTATTCTCTCGGTTTGTTATTTTCTTGGAGAGGGATCTTCTATAATGTACTTGTTGCCCTTTGCAGTAATATGATAGAATTATTTAATCTGGACTCTAACTGGGTTTATTGAGGAATTACACAATCTTGTAAAACAACACTACTTTCAATAGGGATACCTCATATCACACTTCAAAGGAGGCATCAAAATCTGTCATGTCTAAATAGCCCACTACAGAATTACACAACAAATCAAGTCCCAGTCACAATAATAGCTTACACTTCTTCGTGTATCACTATACAGTATGACAACTTAAATAACAACTGCAAAATCGTGAGCATAATCTGAAAGGTATATGAGTAAGTGAAGTAGAGATAATTTCCCTATGTATACTATCAGTATTAGAACAGATTTATAAGAGATAAAATGTTTATTTATGATTGAACAGTAAAAGAAAATTTTTTTAAAAGTTGGGCAACAAAATGATACAACGGCGTGTTTCTATTCTATCACTACTTCATACATTTATTATATAATTATTGCTGTTTTATCGTTATTTGTAAATGTTATTATAGTTATTTAATTAATAATGAAAAAGATAAAAATAAAAGATTAAAGTGTTATTATTTTTTAAGAAAATGCTGCAAAAAGGAACTCTCTTTTCTTTCTTTTGCTACTGCTACTTTTAAATTTCTCTCATAATTTTCTCCCTTCCTTCCATCATTCCCATCATTTGTACTTCATCATTCTCATCATCATGCAACTTCATCATTCTCATCATTTGTGTTCCCACACCACATGTTTTCTGCACTGCCATCTTCGTACCATCTTACCAATCCTTCGTCATAACCACAATAATTACATGGCCTTTTAGTTTGTGATGTGTATATCTCCGATTAGTAAGTTGAACAAGATTTATACATATATAACCCGGGGATATAAAAGTTGTTCTGGTACCATTAACCCTTTACGACATTGTGGAGTCATTCCGATCCACACATTTGCTATCAAAAATACCAGAGTATCACCTGCACTCAATGACTATTTACAACTATCACAAACTCAAAGATCTAAAGAATTTTTATCTTTGTCGTTTGTATCTCCTTTAACAAATCCGTTTCTATCTAACAAAATTTTATGACCATTTCTATATATATATGGGTGTCAATACATAAAGTCAATTTCAAAAAATGGCTTTTCAAAATATTTATTAGTTTTGAGTAACGGTAAGCATACTTCTCGTATAGAAATAGTAATCAAATGTTCATGTGAATACAAACCAGAACAAACTGCACAAGGTGATTCTCTCAGTGAATCACAGCTAATATTTTCATGAAATTTAGCTAGTTTATTATTTGCAATGGTCTTATCAATCGGTTGTGGCCAATTTGCATACCGTTTATTCAATAAATCAAATTCATCATCCATTTCTAGAATGCGTAATGGAACTCGTGCATCGATCGTCGGGTGTCTTTTTCAATACAATTTTTTTGTTTTTTAATATGTTGAATTTCACACCACTTACGTTCGCGTTGACGGTAACTTGTATCTGCTCATTTAACAGCCTTTTGCTGTTTACGTTTTGATTTATAACTATTCAAAATTGTAGTATCACTCCTAACATACCAGAAATTAGTATGTTTTATTTGATAATTTAAAGCTTTGAAAGTTATATTTACATATTCAGTAACAAAATTGCGATCGAGTAAACAATACAGTAAACACCGGAAAAAATACATTTTTATACGTTTTATATCATTTAATATCGTATGTGAATAAATAATAGATATAAAATAAAAATACTATTTTATTAAATAAATAAAAATTATGAAATTTATTACACATCTGAAATAATAAAATTATTGCATATTAATTTTGTAATAATTGCATAATAATCATCACGTATTGATTAATGTAAACAAAAGTATATAAACTCAAATAACGTAATAATAGTAATAATGACAATTATAGTTAATAAAACAAATCATAACTTTTATAGTAGGAATTACGATTTTCATATAAACAAATAAATGAAAAAGTAAACACAAAACACCTCTCAAACGAAAATCATAACTCCTACCAAAAAAGGATTTCACGAAAATCAGCATAAGCGACATCAAAGAAGTTGAATATATCCATCCCTCTACACATTTCATGTTACACATGAAACTTGATCGTACTGGTAAATATTCTTTATTATTGCGGCACAAAATTTGTATTAATAAAAATATAAGCTAGAAAGCTCAAACTTTAAAACCAGTATTTTGATATAATTTAAGGCATTGAAACTTTCTATAAAGCATATACATTCCATATATATACATTTATCTATTGTGACTTATTATGTTAATTGACTCGTGGATCATTAATTTTAGTTCCTACATTGAAGAGGGACCCCTTAAAAATTTTTTTTAATTAAAAAATAACCTTCCGTTTCTTTCATTATCGGAACTAATTTTATTTTATCCTTAGTAAAGAATTACATATTCGGAATTTTTATGAGACTTTGTAACGCTGTCTTAAATTCAAATAGTGCAAAATACGATATTTGATAATGCAATTGGTCATGGTCATGTAATTAATTAATTATCAACTTTAAAAATAAATATTAAATGATGAGGTGTGACTTTTTTTTAATATAGTATTCAATATAAATAAGGATATGTATCTACTTTGTATAATAAATTAAGTATTTATACGAAATTAACATTCAATATTTAGAAAAATAAAAAACAACCCCAGGTTTGCCGAACTTTTTCAATTCCAAAAAAATTTATTTATTTATTTATTTATTAATTTATTTACTATTATATTATAAATATATTTATTATTTATAAAATTATTTTTTATGACAACTCTCTGACCAGTTTCTTAATTTGTTCGATACAGAATAAATTTAGTATCCAGAATGATGGGATTTTTGTATAAATTTATCTAATTAATTCTAATGTTCTTTTTTTTTTATTTGATATTTGTTTACAAAACAATTTCCTAGAATAGAATATTGTGACATTAAAATCCTGCCTTATTTGATCCCTCACGATAATCCGATAAATAAGAAAATCTATTCTTCATATGGTCTTATGGTCTTATAAACTGACACTGTTATTGTTATCATTTATGGAAATTTAAGACTTTATGGTTAAATGATAAAATGTATATTCTTCTTTTAATTATTATTATTGTTAAAATATTTTAAATTATGATGTCATTTTGATAATATTGATTTCATTGACTTTGATATAATTAGGTACAACGATTAATATTCCTTTCTTGAACTGACATCTCGCACTCAAAAATCGGAAAATATTTCTTTAATGTTTATTTATTTATTTTTTTTTTTTTGCTAATGGATCACTCGCGTGACTAATTATAAATATTATTATGTAATCCTCAGTTTCTTTTACATCATCATCAAATTTTCACTTATTCCATATGTTTTATTTTTGTAGAATTTTTTTGATAAGTAATCTAACAAGATTAAACATAGAGAAGAAACAATAATGAAATTTCATGAAAATTTCTGGTAATCAAATTGTTTCGTTTTCGTTTTTTTCATCTGCAAACCATCATATGCGCTTTAACTCATAATGGGAAACAAAGGGTGAGGGAACACGATATCTGAATACATCATATTAAATTATGCGTAGGTACAAAAAATAAATAAAGTAAACATTAATTAAGCTTATAAAACGTTTAATTTGGTTAGATGTAAAATAAAGTTTATATCATTTCTTGTACTCTGTCATCCAATGCAAACAATGTAATAGTTTATCAATGAAAAAAAAAAATATCAAAAATGTAAAAAAAAAATATTAATAATCTTTCTTTTTTCACGTCGGGTTCCCGATAAAATGTATGTGTACAGTTGTATAAGCCAGGTTTTAAAAAAAGGGAATTTCGGTCGAATTTATTTCGATTATCTAACAAGTTCATAAATTTATTTATTATTTTTTATTTTTTATTTTTTAAAATAATTAATTTTGACCCAAATTTTAATTTTATAGATGATATCACGTGATTCTTAAATTATCCGGGTCTTATAATTTTATCTTTATAAGTATTTTTTAATTAATTATTCATGAAAAATTATTCGAATTTAAATCCAATAGTAATTTTCATAAAATTAATAAATATAAAGTTATTCATTCACAAATTAAGCAACCATAAATTAATTATGATCGCAAAGAATTATGAAAAGAATTAAAATCATTTAAACAAAAGTAAAAAACAACAATTAATGTCCATTTTTTTTATTGTTAATTCCTTTTATGATATGGAAATTGTTTCATAATGTACAACATTAGCAGGCCAGATATGAAATTATTTCTCTATATGTTAGATGACTTATTTCTTTTGGCCGATAATAAAGATTATATTTGATATTGAACATAATATGAAATAATTTTTGGTCTCATCACTGATTTTTTAATGAATTCTGGTCGGCGTTGAATTTAAGGCTCATTTTAGTAATATTATATGAATTTCAATTCATTTATTGCATAAAAACATTACGTATTAAAAACAATATTGAAAACAGAAATAAGTAGAATATTATAATCTCAATGCAAATCAAAATCATCGATAGGAAATAAATCCATTTAATGCATCCATTTTTAGGCTTAATCAACAATTTTTTGGTTTCGTTATCTCCCATTTCATTTACAAAAAAGGCGTCTTTTATGCACGTGACACTGACCGAATATTATTATCTGTACACATGAATGAAAAAAGGTAAATTAAAATAGCGTCAATAAGTTCACTCGGCGTTATAAAATAAAATAAAAATATTAATAAATTTAAAATAATAAAAAAATTACAATAAAAATATTAATAAATTTAAAATAATAAATAATTATAATAAAAAGATTATTCAATTCTAAAACAATTCTTTAAAAATTTACTTTTTTGTCATATTATTGTATTTCTTATTCTTATTGTAAATATTTTTTATAAATAATTACGTGATTACATAGATTATTTACTGATTTTTTAGTTTATCGATCAAATTTGGAAAAGAAAAGTATTCTGTAGCATTAAATAAAATATAGCAGATAATTTAAATAATAATATAAAAGATAATGACCAACAACAGGCAACAACAACAACAACAGACAACATCCGATAACACAATTGGCAACAACTGTTAGCAACAGTCACAGTTTCGGACTAATCATTAATATAGACTTTTTAATTATTAGAAATCTTTTACCGAAAAGCAGTATTAAATTATTTAAATTTTCACGCGAAACTTAAAAAAAATATAAACAACATAGTTAGTAACAATGAAATGAGAACAATCATAAAATTTTCAATAGCCATATCAATGTTACATAAACAAAAACGTCTGTCAGCGATTTAAAATTTTTCAATGTGAAACTTTTGTTTTCTCTATTTCTTTATCATTATGCAAATGAAAAGCAAACTCTTTTTCTTCATCACTATGAAAAAAAAAATGGGAGAGATTTGGTTCTACTATTTTTAAACTTCATTTTTTTTTTAAACTAAACTTTAAAACTAAAATGGTTAGCTCAGTAATTCCAAAATTGAAATCTATGGCAGATTATAAAAATTTTTAATTATAAATAGACTCCCGAAAAAAACAAATAATTATTGAGAGATTTTGAATTTCAAAAAAAAAAAAATCCTCCATTCGTTACATAAACATGGGTTCCGGAATTATTCGCATGGTAATTATAATGATTATTATTATGAATATTAAACATTTAATTTAAAACATTACAGTAAATATAATCTTATGATTCTAATACTGTCTATTTTTTTTTTTTAATTATCTAAAGACTTAAAAAGACTGTAAGTACAAACTTTTCTTTTTCTGATTAACCATTATCATCAATAATTTAAAAAGTTAAATATGGAAGCATTATGATTTTCTAATCTTGCTCCTCTCTCTAATTTAATAAATTCTTTTAAATATTAGCTTTCGTATCTGGGATGATTGGGGCAACTTGTAGCCGTCAATGAGTTACGTCGAGCATTGATGGTGATTACATTTCCAATGTTTTCATTTGTTCTTTGACGCGATTTATATATATACATATATATACATATATTTACTTTATTTTGTAAATTATTACATTATGTACTAGGTTTCAAGTTCGTTCCGGAACCCACGTTTTATCGTTTTTTTTTCAATTCGATTGCCTAGTCAATTTTCGGGTTCTCTGACCATCACTTCGTGAACTAGGTACTGATTGTTTTCTTTATTCCGTTAAAATTAGGTCACTCCAATAAAGATGAATCAATGACTAACAAGCCCGTAATCACGACATTTATTTTTATTCTTTCATTTAGGTTAATTTATGATATTTAGCCATTATGACGATATTTTTTTTTTTACTTTTTTTGAAGAAAAAAAAAAACAAAATCAATAATTTTTATTAAATCACTATCACGTTGTGATGAAC